AGAGAGAGAGAGAGATTATTTGCATATGAATTCTGGCAAAACAATTCAAACTACCCGTAAAACAAATCAATAATGGTCTCGTTCAACGAGTACCAGAACATGACAAAAGAAATGTGGAATTAATAATTCAAGGGTCAACTAAACTTAGACTCTCAATACCCAAGCCTGATCAAATCGTATTAAAAACTTCATTTAGAAGTAGAAAAATTGAAAGTCACAAAAAAATCATATATTGTAGCAAATTCAACCCTATAGAGATCGAACCATATATTGTAGCAAATTCAATATATTAATGATAAGAAATTTGAGGAAAAAATAAGTAAAAAGGATGCATTTGATACCTTTCCTTTTAGAGAGATGGAACTGTATATTGTAGCAAATTTAAACCTAAAGAACTTATGATACAACTAAAATCGGTCCCTTCGTCTCATCAAATCCTATTAAGCTGAAATATTGTCTCGAAATCATGCTCTAGTTGATTGAATCTTTCTTGTGAATGACCCTCGCTTATTTATTTTTGTCTTTAGAGATTGGTTCCAAGACAATGGGAGGAAGCACCAATTTCATCTACAAGAAAACTATGAAAATTCTTGCTGAAATCAGTAAAACCACAAAAAATTCTTGCTGAAATCAGGAATATCACATTACAAAATGGCTACAATAGAAGATGAATTCCCTAGTAGTACACTAGTACACAAGAAACCAGCCTACATGCATGATTCAACCCACATACTTTCAAGTCCGAATATTAACGATAAGGAATTTAAGAATAAAAAGAAAAGAAAAAAGGAATAGTACATTTGATACTTTTCCTTCTAGAAAGATGGAACCATATATTGCAGCACGTTCAACCCTAAAGCACTTATGATGCAACTAAAATCAGCTGCTTCATCTCATCAATCCTATTAACCTGAAATATTATGTGAAAATCATGTTCTAGTTGGTTGAATCTTTCTTGTGAATGACCCTCGCTTATTTATTTTTGTTTTTAGAGATTGGTTCCAAGACAATGGGAGGAAGCACCAATTTCATCTATAAGAAAACTCTGAAAATTCTTGCTGAAATCAGTAAAACCATAAAAAATTCTTGCTGAAATCAGGAATATCACGTTACAAAATGGATACAATAGAAGATGAACTCCCTAGTAGTACACAAGAAACCAGCCTAAATGCATGATTCAACCCACTCACAAGCAATAAATCAATCCAAATGCAAGGCAGCTGTTCTACATTCAGAGAGAGAAACTGTTCTACATACAGAGAGAGAAACAGAAGGATACTAAGATAAAGAGAACTAATTATTAATTATTCATATGTGAACCTTGAACTTGCAAATTCATAGAGCCTGTGTATGCTTGAAAAGATCATAAGCTCCAAATCACATCATAATTAATGGTGAGCACTTTCTTATCAGCATTTACTATTCTTTCAGGCCCTATTTGGTAATTGAGAAAGTTGTTTTCTAGGAGAATCTCTGGGAAATTGGGAGCTTGAGAAAAATATGGAAGTACTTTCAGGCCCTATTTGGTAATTGAGAAAGTAGTTTTCCAGGAGAATCTCTGGGAAATTGGGAGCTTGAGAAAAATATGGAAGTAAAAAACTAGTGGTTGGAAGATACGAACCATCCTTTGCTAAGCTGTCTGTGAAAACCAGGGAATTCTGCTACAAGCAATTTCCCCTGTTTGCTAACCTGAAAATCTGGAAACCAATGATTCAACCATTAATTACAAAATGCATTCATTACAGGTTGAAATTTATCATTGGATTGAGATTTTTAAATTATAAACCATTCATGTCATTGCTTATTTAATGGATGGCTATGACTGTTAGACTGTAAGTTGTTAAGGTTCTCTCTGCTCCCCCTCCATCTCCCTTTCCTATTCATGGTGTATAATTTTCATCACTCTAATGGTGTCAATTTTCAGCACTTTTGCTTATTCACAATATAATGACTCTAAAATATTGTCATAACAAAAGTGTATAGCAAATGGTACATGGACATGATCCTAGTAACAAACTCAACCCCATCAGTATAAAGTATGTATTACTGCTCAAGACCATGATACCTCTTCCTTTGATTTTGTAAGATCAACTTCTTTTGGCTTGCTAAACTCATTAATACACTAGGAAGCAATGTGCTTATAACAAAACACAGAAAAAACAACTACTTATAGACAAACGTCATGACGAATTAAAAAAACGCAGAGGTAGTACTTAGATATTACTTTTCAAGAACGATAGCATGCATTGTTTGACATTAACAAGTCTCACAAGAGGTTCAAATACAAAGAAGGAGCCTTTTTGATGGATGGCTTCGTTGCAAGTACATCGTTTGGTTTTCTTTGCCCAAAATGTTTTTTCCTCAGTGGAGTTTTGGGCCATGAGCTTTGAGATAATCTTCAGGAATGTTCAGCCCTTAGGATTCTTGCCACATTGGTCTAGGAACAAAAAAGAATGGGGAAAAATTTTCACGCCAAATTTTGTGTTTCTAGTTGTATAAGAGGAAATTGGGATTTTGGAGGAAAAACATAACCACAATACCACATCATAGAATTACTGATAAAAATTTCTCGACATATCAGCAAAATTTACTAAAAATAAAAGTAAAAATTGCAGATAATATCAATTACAATTCAGTTAGTGATAAACGTCACTACTGATAATTGTCAGCTAAACATCAGTAAATTTAACCGATGAATATCAGTTAAATATCAGGTATAAGATTTACCAATATTTACAGATATTATCAGAAGAATCAGAGCAAAGTTTCTGATATTATGATAAATTGTCAGAGCCCTGAGATGAAAATTGAAATCTATGAAGAACAATGAAGAATAATAACCATGAAAATCAAGAACGATGAAGAACATACCTAAAATTTCTTCAAAGGCTTGAAGAGAGGTCAGAAACAAGAAAAAGGGAGAGGCTCGTTGCAGAGAGAGAGAGTGAAAAAACAACAGGAACAGAGAGATTAGGTAGAAAGAGGTTACAGAGAGAGAAAGGGAGCCAGCGAAGAGAGAGAAAGGGAGCAAGGGCTAGAGAGAGAAGGGGCTTGGGTAGGGAAGAGCTTGCGATTGCAGATGAATAGAGAGGAGAGGGCCTCGGGTGACGTTTGTGTAAGGTGCCCTATACTGTACAAGTAAAGTGCACCTCTAAATTTTATAGAAAGATGCGGTTTTGGTGTCCCGAGCCTTTTAATGCCTTCAAAATTAATCTTCAACCAAATTTAAAATTGGAGAAACCACGCAATTTATAAATAATTAAAAATTTTAAAAATAGACGGTCAATATAAGAAGTACTATTTTTAAGATTTGAATTTTTTTTCTCCGATATTCATACGATCGAGATGATTAATTGGAAAGTTTTTCAACATCCAAACACTATTTTTACTTGATGTTTGAAGTGCACGTGACTTCTATATTACACAAGATTGCAACTTTTATAAACTTTTTTTTTTGAGGAATTTTCTTTTTTTTCAATTTCCATTATCAAAATTAACCGCACCATGTAAAAACTAGGAAAAATTACATAAAGTTCTAAAACATGGATTTTCTAACCAATTTACCCCAATCAAAACTTTTTTTTAGCAACTTTTTCCCCAAAAGCTGTTTCCTAGCACATACCTCGGACTCAAAAAAAAAAAAAACTAAAATACCCCTCCCTTACCTCATACGTTGACCATGGCAGTCCGGTGTTTGGAAGAGGCGGTCTAGCGCTTAAGTCACTGATTTGAAACGGTTCGGCATTTCACCATGGTGGTCTAACACTTCATAATGGCGGTCAAGAGTTTGGAATAGGCGGTTCGACATTTGATTATGGATTAATGAGTAGTCCAACATTTGTGAGCTACGGTCCGACAAAATTGAAAATTGTCTGGAATAAACAACCCAACAGTATACAGTTCCAGTCCGACAGAATGGATGGATCCAGCAATATACAACAGCGGTCCGGCGTTTCCTTTTATTGGGATCCGAAAATGATTTGCTATGTATGAGAAGGGTATTTTTGTCAAAAATATGAACTTTTTTTATTAAGGGTATTTACTATAAACTTGATTTTTGGGAAAAATATGCTAAGAAAAATTAGGGTGGAAAAATATACTAAGAAAAATTAGGGTGGGTAAAGTGCAAGTCTATTTTTTGAGGTTTTATGTAATTTTCCCTAAATATTAGGAACTAATGAAAAGAAATGAAAGCCAAATTCACAAAAAAGTTTTTATTATTTTTTAGGAGTTAAAAAATAGTCCCAAACATTCTCTATTTTATACTTTAAGTACCAATTTTATTTTGGGTGTGGTTTGTATAGAGCCTAGGCTCTAAACAATCAAATTAGAGCCTACCTTCAAATAGTGTCGAGAAATGTAGTTTCCATATTGAAAATCTTTGTGATAGCTTTAAAATATATTTTCATATTTATTTATAAAGTTTAAAGCTTAAAAAATAGTGTTGATCGACATATCCATAAAAAGTTGAAAATGTTGAAAATTGATAGTCAAATACACTATTTCCAAAACTTGAAATCTATTTTTTTTCATGTCCATGCATCTTGATGTCGAGATGATCAATTTGAGGATATGAAATTTTCATGTCCAAGCATCTTGATGTCGAGATGATCAATTTGAGGATATGAAATTTGTTAGGTAGGCTCTAATGTGATTGTTTAGAGCCTCAGCTCTATATAAACTTTTCTCTTTTATTTTATTTTTGTATTTTTTAAGAATTAAAAAATAGTCTCAAACATTCCATTATTTATTTCTATGAACCGCTTTTCCCAACGGAAAAAGTTTATTTAGAGAATCGTCCCAAACATTATTTCTTTTTATTACTGTATGAACTACTTTCCCCAAAAAAAAAAAGTTTATAAAGAGCCGAGGCTCTAAACAATCAAATTAGAGCGCACCTCAAAATTTTCTCTAGAAAATTGTTGTTTTGATGCTCAAATATCCTCAAATTGATCATCTCAACTAGGGGTGATAAGAGGTCGGGAACGAGGACCTACACCTAGACCCAAACCCAAAAAAACCTATATGTACTCGGACCAAGATCTTACATGTTCAAATTGAACATACCCGTACCTATATCCGACAAACAATTTTGGACCCATGACCCTAACCAATGAGGGGGTTTGGAAATAGTTTAGTGCCCTAATGCCTATGCTTTTATAGATCTCGACCCACTTATTTATTTCTATTCACGTCATTGTTCGTAAAACTGGGCAATCTAACTGTTAACCACCCGGTTAGATTGGAACCGGCCAGTGGCTGGTTCTGATTTTCGGCGGTTATGGTTATCAACTAGTATTTAACAAAAATTAATATATATATATATATATATATATATATTACCCGAAAATAAGGAATTTGATTTTGTAATACATTATTTAATATTCATTACATTGTAGTAAATATTAAAAAATATTTTGGTCATTAATACTCACTTTTATATTTTCTTATTTTTTTAAAAAAATATCCCTAGGCACAAATCGGTTCATTAAAATCCATTTTTTTTTCATTAATTTTCAACTTCATTTGAATGTTTTTTTTTTTTAACTATTCTTTATACGGTTTTCATTTTGAATAGATTTTTTTTGTCTCTTTTTTATTTTTTTCACCACTTTTTTGACCACTCGGAACTTGCCTCGTTAGAGTGGTTGAATCGGTCGGTTTACTGATTAGGTAGGTTAAACCGTTTTTGGGCCCATGTGCGGTTAACCGTTCCGGTTCAATTTTGCGAACATATGATTCATATCGATGTGGGACTGATCATCATCTCGATAGAAGTATGAACATTAATGTGAGATCTTTGGCAAAAAAATGTCAAAGTAAAAAAAATTTGGAAACCAAAAAAAGAAATAATAATAACAAGGGGGAAATTTTCATTTCAAAGAGAAGAAACACAAAAGCTAGAAGGCAGAACCCATATTTTCCCTGCTTTTTTCTCACCCATTTTTCATATAATTTATCGCTACCATTCATCAATATAAAAACTCGCCACAGAATCACAGAAAGATTAATGTTAAAAAACAAGAATCATAAAAAGATTAGGCAAAAAAAAAAAAAAAACTCCAAAACACTTGCTATTCAGAAGAGATAACGTAAAAACAATCAATTCAAACCTTTAACAATGGAAAAAAAATAACAACCTACAAAAAATAAAACAAATAAAGAGAACCAAGTTTAACAAGACTGGAGAAATAACTAAAAAACCCAGCAAATTAAAACAAAAAATCAGGGCAAAATCCATAGAAAATAGCGAAAAACCCCCAGAAATTCAGCATTAAAGCATAAGATACAAAAAAACCCAAGTCATTATCCTTTTCCTCTTTCCATTTAAATCATTTCTTCAACGTACCTTCAGCCGAAGATAATTTTCTCCCAAAATCTGCACGCCTAAAAGGATTCAGAAGTCAAGGATCGTCGATTTTATAAAGGAAAAGGGCGATGAATACAAAAGAGAAGCGAGGCCTTGTAATATAAGAAGAAGAAGAAGAGAGAGAAACTAGAGAGATAAATAAGCTGCTAGGGCTTATGATGCATAAGCTCGAGAGATCAGAGGTAGCAAGACCAAGCTGAACTTTTTGGGAAAGCCCAAAACGTTTAGGGCGTGTTTGATAAGTTGGAGTTGAAGTGTGAGTTAAATGTCCCACTTCTATGTTTGACATTACGGTTGTTGTAAAGTGGAAAGACGGCCTTCCCTACAACTTTTTTTAATGTTAAAATAAGTTCATTTTTGGAAGACTTCCTTTTCATAAAAAATGATGGAAAAGCATTTTTTCATAATTTGTGGGAGAGTCCCTTCCACTCCCAACAACTCCACATGTCAAAACGCACCTTTAGTCTTTTAGTCTCACATCGAAAAGTTATAGAGAGGTAATATGAGGGAGTTTGCAATAAAATGAACGGTGGATTTCATATGGGGAACAATATTTCGGGTCCGGAGTTAGGTATGGGCCACTAGTACATGTACATGATAATTTTTTGGTCCATTATGAAGGATTGAGACCCTACTTGTTGGTCCAAGGTTTGGCCCATACCAAGACCCGTGTCAAGTATACTTGTTTGGTCTTGGGTCGGGTTTGAGTCCGTTGCTAGTCTTAATCTCAACATTAAGATGCATGTACATGAGAAAAAAAACGGATTGCAAGTTTTGGAAATTGTACATCTTGTAAAGCAATGCTTTTTTTGACCGTCAATTTTCAAGATTTGCTCGATCTATACTATTTTTGCAGCTTTAAATTTTTAAGGCTATCACAAAGATTTCCAATATTGAAACAACATTTCTAAATTTTTAAGGCTATCACAAAGATTTCGAATATTAAAACAACATTTCTCAATACTATTTGAAGGTGTGCTCTATTTTTCTCGACACTGTTTGAAGGTGCGCTCTACTCTGATTATTTAAAGCCTCGGCTCTATACAAACAACACCCTTTCCCAAAACAAAGAGCCATTCGATAGTAGATTACCTTTCGAATATTTAGTGTATTTTCTATTTTAATACCCAACTGGCCTTTGAATATTGTGAATTTATTGAAAAAATCGCTATATTTAAAGGCTATTACTTTGCTAATAAGGGATTGTATACAATGAGACCATTTACCTTTCATACAAGATGGTCACAATTACTTACAACCATCTTATGCAAAATTTGATAGCTTGGATGTATCATAAAGTTCGAGAAAATTTATTTTGAAGTTTGAATTCAGTCAATGGAATAATTGTAGCTACCCAATTTTACATCCAATGGTCAAGATTAATGTGACCACCTTGTACCAAAGGTAAATAGTCTCATTCTTGAGAATGGGGGTAGGGTCATGGTGGTAGCACTACTTGTGCCCCAACTTAAGATCTAGGCTTCTATTCTCACCTAACGCATTAAAAAACCAATAACAATTTAGAATCCGGGTAGAGGCTCGTCATCCCCATTGAATTACTTAAAAAAAAAAAATCTCATTCTATACTTTCTTTTTTTATAAATAATTAAATATGATCTAAGAAAAAACCATTCAGATTATCTTTTGAATATAGTGAACTTAATTTGGAACACTTGAAATCATGTTGTCTTATTTGATTATATGTTGGGTGTGTTGTTTGGACACATGATACCAGGGTAAACACACTTGAAAGATCCACGAGTGAATCTGAAAGCAAACCTTAAAAGATAACTACCAAGTGCACGTCAAGGCATATATGCTTCATAGATAGTGTGAAAGGAAAGTATATCTTGTCTACCAGGTTAATATGGAAGGT